AGTTATGGGGCGACTGAACTAAGATGGAAACTGTTAAAAGAAGTTGCTTCCGGACAATAGGATTATGGCAGACAGGGGGATCACAGAAGATAATTCTTATGTAGAGATATTATTTATTTGAAACTATAGATTTATCAGTCCTGCCATAGATCTATTTGTTCTCAAAAGTTGGGGACTAGGAATCAGTGTTTCTAACAGCCACTCAGGTGGTCTTCCGCACTCATCCCTGGCTTGGAACCATTGCCTATGGCTTTGGATGGACTGGGAGGAGCGGTTCTTGTCTTCCCTGCTTTGGTGAGGACCTGGGAATCCTTGAGCTCTTGGTGTTTCTGCTGCCTCTGTGGAGACGCTTGGGAGGTGGAGGACCTTGTTGGGCTAGTTCACAACTTCCCTTTGAGAAGATCACTTGCGTCATCTTCTTGCCCTTCCCAGTTACTTCCAGCTCAGGAGGAAGCTGACTCAGACTCATGAGCGGGCTTCCAGCTAATTTCTGCATTTCCTTTCTCGATTCACATCTTAACTGGGCTTGAATATCACTCGGGTTCACAATGTCAGATGATGTCCTATTCACCTTCTGACATTTGGGTGACCCTAAGCTTGACGCTGGGTGTGCTGTGACCTTGCTGACCTTTACGGATGGAGAGAAGAGTGTACGATGCCTTTGCAGCTTCTCTGACACACACTCACGTTTGCCCATCTCAGTTGGGAATGGGTAATGTAATCCCACGTGAGTTCAAGGGGAATCTCTGCAATGCTTACAAAAGAGCATGGAACACAGAGTGAGTCCAGAGCCCAGAGCTCTGAAACCAGCTCCAACAGGGCTGGCTGTAGGGACCTGGGCATGTATTTCTCCTCCCCTGTCTTAATAGGATCTCAGATCTCCTCCGGCTCTCACACCCTGGCTGTTGGATATTGTCTCTTCCACCATAGTTTTGTGAAAGCTGATCCAGGTCAGGGGCTGTGATGGCCTGGCCTATGGCCCTCTCCTGTCACCTATCTCTACCTTTCTCATGGCCTGGCATGTAGCAGGTGCCCCAAATCCACGGTTAACTACAAGGGGCTTGGGAACAGCACTTTACTCTTTTCTGTTCACTCGCATTAGCACCCGTAATCACCAGGGAAAATCTGCAAAGTAGGCATAATTATTATAACAGGATGTCAAAATAGGGTGTCTTCTATCTCAGGTTTCAAAGGCTGAGAACAAAATAGCAGGTGTCATCCGGTGGTGCTAGACCATACACGCAGGGCTTACACAGGGGGTGGTCAAAAACTTGTTCCACCAACATTAATCCATCGCTCAACTCCAACCACGTGGAAGACCATGAAAAATCTGTTTTTGTATTTTACCAGAGTGGACTTTTTATTATCAGAAAAACAGTGAGTGAGCTATGCCTGAAGTTTGGTCCAAGGGTAGGATAAAATATACATCCTTACAGGTATAATGATGCACTAGTTCTCTATGGCTCCTGTAAAAAGTTACCATAAATTGACAACCTTAACACAACATAAATATATTATCTTACAGTTCTGTCAGTCAGAAATATGACACGAATCTCAAATAGGCTAAAAACAAAAGGGCAACAAGGGGCAATCCTTTCTGGAGGCTCTGGGGAGAGTATTTCCCTGCCTTTTGTAGCTTCTTGAGGCCACCCAGATTCCTAGTTCCTGGTCCCCTTCCCCCGTCTTCAAAACCCACAACATCAGACCAAGTTCTTCTCGCGCTGCCATCTCCCTGGTCCCCTCTCTGCCTCCCTTTTCTACTTTTAAGAACAGTTGTGATTACATTAGAATCATCTGGGTAATACCAGATATTGTAAAGTGAGCTGATTAGCAGCCTCAGCTCCATCTGTAACCTCAACTTCCCCATGTCATGTAGCCTCAGTTACTCACAGGTTCTGGGAAGTGGGATATATCTATCTTGGGGGGCCCGTTATTCTTTCTCCTGAAAATGCGGAATGGTGGGAAAAAAGAAAATTGCTTCCAGCTTGCACCTTCCTAAGCATGGCTCGCCCAGTAAACTTGACAGAATCCATTGTCCAGGGAGGAAACTGAAGATCAGAGAGAGAGAGAAAGTGGTGTCTATTCTTGACTGTGCAACGAGATCCCCTAATGTCTGGACCCCATACCCCAGGGATTCTGATCTAATTGGTCTAGGGTGTGGCCTGGGCGTTGGGATTTCGTGAAACTTCTGAATGACCAAGGCTGGGAACCACAGGTGCAAAGGAATTACTCCAGTTCACCCAGAAACCTGGCCGAAAGTGGTACTGCGGCCCAGTCCTCCTCACTGCAGAGCCCCGCTAAGGGGTTGGTGGAGGAGAAACCTCCTACACGTCTTCCGGAGAGAATTTTTACTTTAACTGGAAACAGACTGTGGTTACAATCAAGGGAACAAGGATTCAGGGGTAAAATATCAATCACTCATTTCCCGATGGCAACAAAAGAACAAGTTTTAATTTGGGGGAGAAAAATGAGACAGGGCTCATAGGGTAGAAACTTGTATAGGGTATGAGACCTTGATAAATGGCATCACTGTTGTTGTTATTATTATTATTATTAGGGCCAGGCTATGGAGAGGGCTATGCCAGAAGTGCCTTCCAGATACATGAAGCGTCAGCCCAAAGCCCACAATGGCTTCTTCCTCTCCTTCCCCTGCAGGGGTCTGAGCCCAGGGCCCTGCATCAGCCCAGCCCCCTCCCCTCCCTGGCACAGTGTGCAGCCCCCAGGCCCTGGGTCCTGTACTGGGCTAAACTGTGTCCCCCCAAAAAGACACATCCAAGTCCTAACCCCCAGTACCTGTGGATGTGAACTTACTTGGAATTAGGGTCTTTTCTGCATAATTAAGTTAAGGGTCTTGAGATGAGATCATTTGGGGTTTAGGGTGGCCCTAATTCTAATGACTGGTGTCCTTGCAGAGAAAGGAGAGGGACATTTGACACGCGGAGAAGAAGGCCATGTGAAGACAGAGGCAGCGATTCCGGGGCAGCCACGAGCTGAGGAGCATCACTGGTCACCAGCAGCCACCCGGAGCCAGGAGAGAGGCGGGGAACAGAACCTCCCTCACAGTCCTGGAGGGAGGTGGCCCTGCCAACACCCCAATTTTGGACCTCACACCTCCAGAACTATGAAAGAATAAATTTCTATTGTTTCAAGCCACTCAATTTGTAGTCGTTTGTAACAGCAGCCACAGGAAACCAATAAAGGTCTCATCCACCCCTCAGTCCCCATAGCTCAGGAGAGCCAAACACAGCTGCTGGGCAGCGTACCGCCCCCTGGTGTCCGTCTCCTCCCTCTGTCTGTGCCCCGCAGCTCCGGGGCTGCAGTCTGGGTTCAAGGCACCAGGAAACACCAAGGCATGACCTCTGAGGCCAGGGAATTCCTGAGCACCTCCAAACACAGCACATGATTTCACAGCCCTCCGAACTAAAGGAGGAAAGAGGTGTTTGAGGCCAACTTCAACCCTGGGCCAAGCCAGATGGCCCCAAGGTTGGGGCGATGGGACCAACTCTCACAGTCTTGAGAGCATCATTTGCTGCCCAGTAACTGTCTCCTCATTCATTGCTGCTCACTGCACCCCAACTCTGTTGGGACAGCAGTATCTCCCAGTCCAGGGGATAAGTCATGGATCCCAGCAGGCCCATTCCTTTCCCATTGCCAGTGATGGTTTAAGAGTGAGCACATGAGTAAGTTCTAAGCAATAAAAGGTAAAGGGAATTCTGGGAACATCTGAGGAAGATTTTCCTCCAAGAAAAGAAAGAGGCACTGGAGGGAAAAGCTCTTTAACCCCTTCCCCACTTGCTTACAGCAAAGGATGCTGTCAGGGAGGTGTGATGTCTGGAGCTGTGGCAGCCAAGATGTGCCAGTGAGGTGAAACACCATCCATGTGCTGAAGACAGCAAAGAGGAGGACTGGATAGGGTCTCAGTCCTTGATGACATCATTGAGACACTGATCAATTCTGGGACCACCTACCTGTTGGAGTTTCCTTTGGGTAGGTCCTTTTAGTTGAGTATTCAGTTACTGTCACTAAACCATACTAGTACTAATGGAGCCTATAATGTAGTATGGAGGCTACTCAGGGCTTTCAGTACTATCAGCAGGTTGTGTAGGATTCACGATGTGGCCATAGGCTTATTTTTTACAGTTCATGCAGCGCAGAGAAGTCAGAAAACATGTGTTAAACTCTGATTCTCCTCCTCCTCCCTGTGTGAATTTAGGCTCACCATAAGCCTTTCTGAGCCTCACCTTCCACATCTGCAAAACGGGATGATAATCCCCACCCACAAACGATCGTCAATTTGGTCTGAACTCGTATAAGATGCTGGGTGTAAATGCATTTTATGACGTGTCATGTAAATGACAAAGACTGCTAACCAGCTCCACACGTTTTACTTTGGGTGAAATGAGTGTGTGTGTGTGTGTGTGTGTGTGTGTGTGTGTGTGTGTGTGTGTTAAACAGAAGACTTGCTTTTATAATGTGTCCCTCAGGAAGGTGAATGAGAAAATAGTTTGCTTCCCTGGGAACCCAAACCAACTGGGAGCTGAGGTGATTCCCTCTCCTCGCACGAGCTCCCTTCCACATTCAGCCGAGTCCTGGTGATTGTATCCTAAAGCGCCCTTGGCTCTGTTCCCTCCCCCATCTCCACACTTCAGAGCGCACCGTCCCTCACTAGATCAGCCCAAGTTTGTCTCCCACCTCCATCCGGAACCCTCGTGAGTTAAGGCCTTCCTACCCCTCAGGTGGGACTGTGCCGCTCTGAGGCCTGCCCGTGGTGGGTCCCCACATTCTGCACGGCCGTCCGCTTGCCTGCCCATTCTGTCCTTTTAGGGGGCAGGGTCCTGGTTTCCTCAGCACCCAGCACAGGGCCTGGAGCACAGCAGATTCCTCATAAATATTTGTTGAGAGGAAACAGCATCCCAGGATTCAAACCTCAGAAAGATTATTAAGATATAGTTGGTACCACCCCCAACTTGTCTTGAATTCACAAATCAGTCACCAATACCTCACTGCATGTAGACACTTTATTGAAAGTGAGTGGTATTTTGGAGAACAAGGTGACCATGGTGGGCATCCTGAGGTGTGGTTGCTGAGGGGGCTCAGGGGAATGGTCACTTGCTGTAGCTCTTTGAGCCTGGCCCTAGGTCGCCTGGGAGGTCTTCCCTCAGCCCAGATCCAGCCGTCAACTCCTCCTCTTCACTGCCTGCTGACGGCTCATCCTGGGCTCCATCTGAAATAGACGGGCAGGGCAAGTTGGTCCAGGCCAGAGACTTCTCCTCTCCGGTACCTTCCTTTTGGCCCAAAGAGACCCCCACCTCCAGAGGGCATTCCCTGCTAATGCCCTCCAGAGGGGCATTTCCGGTGGCTGGGACACCAGATTCATCACCCAGCTATAGGGACATGCTAAGGGTGCATTGGTACCTGAGTTTGCCAACAGAGAGCCACTGGGCCTTGGCAGCTAAAAGCAGAGTCGAGAGTCTAAAGCAGGTACTGGACAAGGTCACTTGCCTGTTCAATGCTCCATCCAGGAACTCCTGTCACTCTGCAAACCTCTGCCCAAGTATCACTTTTCCTGGGGACCCTTCCCGGGTCTTCTAGGGAGAAGCGAGTCCTGCTACCTCAGGCTCCCACCAGCTGGGGTGCAGATCTCCCTCATGGCCCCAGGAAAGCTGAGGGTGTCCCCTGGGTGATGTCACTCAGACCCACTCTTCCAAAGCCATCCAAGAGCCTCGTGTTTCTCTCTACTCCCAGCGCCTCATTATGATTCACTTTCTGTCCTTAACATCACAGAACGGGGAGAGGCAGAAATGCCCACTTTGACCCTGGCTAGAACTGCCTCTCCAAGATTTTCTATCCAGCCCTTTAGGGGCTGTGAGGATGAGGCTCCAGACCCTCCCTTCCCTTCCCCCCACCACAGCCCTTCTGGCCCTCTGTCTCCCTGTGTCCTCTCCCTGTGCCTCTCTTGCTTCCCATCCAGCTCCCAGGGGCCAGGAGGCCCCTGGCAGAGCAGAGCTGTGCAGACTTCGAGCTCCTCTGGGGCTGGGGCCGGGCCCCCTGCAGTGCAGGCCTGGCACCCAGGAGACCACGGATGCTGAAGTCAACCAGCAGTGGCCCCACACCTGGCCCCTGTGTGCCGTGGGGCTCAGTTACCTGCCGTCGCCTTCAGAGACCGGATGTACTTGGACCAGAAGGAGCAGTCGGCTGTCTTCAGGCCCCGTCGACTCGGGAGCAGGGCACTGAACTCCTTGTAGTTCTCTCCACCCGCTCGAGGGACAAAGTCAGGCCAGGGGGCCGCGAATTCAGGCGCTTTCTGTGAGAACTCATGAGGGTAGTTGGGGTTTCTGCAAAAATGGGAAGGAAGAAACATCCTTAAGAGGAATTTGTCTTTCCTTTTGTCACTTTGGATCACTTCCCAGTCGCACTTGGTCTCCGACGGCCGGTCACGCATCTTGCAGGGTCAGGCCGGATCTGAGCCCACCCCACCTGGGGCTGTGATCTCAACTCACGCTGCAAGGCATTAGGGAACCAAGGCTCCCTGAGCTCACCGCTCCTGGGCCACTTCTGGGAAAGGAAAGACATCAGGGTCATGAGCTGGCTGCATTACTTAGGACCGAACGCTGCTCTTCTGTCTTTGTGCATGTTCAGGTCACTGTGTCCCTTTCTTTCCTGATGTCCTTTGATCTAGACACCACAGCCAGTCTTTGGAATTCCCTTGTTTGTCCAAGGCCTGGGCAGGCAGGAGGGTGAACCCAGAGCCAGGGAACCCACCTGCCACCTACAGGTCAGCTTCCCCACAAAGGAGTCGTCACATCTGCTCAGAGACAACCTCTTTGCCAAACTTGCAGCCCAAGCCCTTCTCCCAGCCTGTCCCCTCACACGGGCCACATGCCAGCCCCGCTGACCACATGATGCTCCCAAACAAGGCATGCCGTCTCGTCATCTCCCCTCCTCTCCAGGGACTGCCTGCTTGTCCTTTGCTTATCTGAATATACTGTTTATCCTTCAAGGCCCAGATAAAATGTCACTTCCTCAGTGAAATATGTCTAAACCCCTAATTAGAAGAAATGTCTTTTTCTGCTCAATTGTCATAACAAACTGCATAACACTTTATTGTGTTCTGCTTGGAATTATGGTTTGGTTTCTATGTTTCAGATTATCAGCAGCTGGTAGCTGGGACATGACTTTTTCATTTTTTTTTTTACCTTTCCAGGGGACCTAGCACAGCTCTATATATTCAATGCACCTCTGGTAAAGAGATAAGGGGAGATAGGTAAGCTACCAGGAAGAGGGCAGGGCAGGAACCGATGATGGAGGTGGGAACGGTGAGTGTGCTCACCGCGCCGGAGTAGAGGTAGGGGAGGAAGGGAAACTGAGAGGCAGATAAAGAGGGGCCTCGAGCCGATGACCTAAGACAGTGGTACTCCCAGGGGACACTGGGCAATGTCTGAGACACGTTCAGTTCTCACAGCTGGGCCAGAGTGGGTACCACTGGAACCTAGTGGGCAGAGGCCAGGGATGCTTTTAAATGTCCTACAATGCACGGGACACAGCCAAGACTCAGCCAACCCCCAACGTCAACAGTGCTGACATTGAGAAACCCCAATCTAGAGCCATCAAGTGTGGCTGGTCTAATTGGAGCCTTTCTTCACGGAGATCAAACTGCACAAAGACGGCTTTGGCTAGAAGAGGGAGACTGAGACAAGGAGACCAGTGGCCGGGAATTGCAACATTCAGGGTGGAAACGGTGCAAAATGGAGCCCTTGCATTCAGACTAAAGGGTGGAGGAGGGGAAGCACAGTGACAGGATTTGTGACAAGTGTCCACTTACCCGGATCTGATGAAGTTGGAAAAGTACTGCATGATTTTCAATGACAGACTCTTCTCCTCCAGAGAAAACTGCCCCTCATAGGCAGGGTGGAAGGGAAGCCCAAAGGCGTACTGCACATCTGCCAGCAACCCCAGGCTGGAACCCAGATGGACAGAAGCAGCAAAAGTTAAGAAAAAGTAAACCACTCAAAAACCCAGATGAGCCAAAAACCAATATTCTTCCCCTTAAAGACTTTCCCTCTTTATGTTATGCTCAGGGCTCAGTTTAGCTGAGGTTTGGCTGGGCCGACATTTAGTGCAGTGGCCCCTGGGGGCAGGTCCGTGGCACACCTGCTGGCTGTGTGTGACCAGTGCTGAGCACTGAATTCTCCTGGAAAAAGGCCTGTATGCAATTTTCCAAGAGAGTGTTCTCTTGACCATACCCTGACCATGATACTTATGATATCACTCGATATTTGTTTGTTCATCTATTCACTGAAAAAAATATTAATAAAAATAGCTTGTATTTGAGTTCATCCTTGTTCATATATTAACTTGCACCATCATGACTCTTCAAGGGTGACATTTAGCCCTGGAGCCCACCCTAGTACAGTGCCTGGCACATGGGCGTTTTTCAGGAAATACACGTTATGGCCAAACTGAATACCCAGGAAGCAGCAGGCAGATAGGAACACAGACTTAGAAGCCGGGCCAGTGGCTTGATGGCCTGAGCTGGACGTGGCAGGGGGAGTCTGTGGTACACGGGCTGGGGGAGGAACACTGTGCCGGGGGAAGACTAGAGTGGGAAAATGGGAAGGGATTTTACGGCTGCGTAGTAAAGATTTTGGCTTTGCCCAGAGAGAGGGCTGGCCTTTGCCCTCGGCTTCTGGGAGGCAAGTGATACCTGATGGAAGTGTCTTTGTTTAAGGCAAAGGTTGGCCACACTGGACCTCTGGGTGGATGTAGCCATACCTGACAGCCTTAGGGTGAGGACCAGCCATGCCAGAAAGACCAACCGTGCGATTTAGGGTGGGAGTTTTGGGTCACATTAGGTAACCTTCAAATTGAGTCAACCGTGCAGGCAATCAATCAATGACGCCTACATAATGGAGCTCCAGTAAGACTCTGAACACCAAGGCTGCTGTTTAATAACATACTCCGTGTGTACTGTCACACATCAATGCAGAGAGTGACATGTCCTGACTCTCCAGGGAGAGGACAGTGGAGCTTCACGTTGGAACCTCCTGTGCTCAGTGCTCTGCCTCTTCCTTTGGCCGATCTTAACCTGTGTCCCTTTCCCGTGATAAATCATGACTGTGAGTATTGTAGCTTTCAGCAAATTCTGTGAATCCTTCCAGAGAATCTTTGAACCTGAAGGTAGTTTGGGAAACACTCAATTTGCGGTTGGTGTCAGAAGCAAGGATGGTGTTGGGTGGAGACCGTGTCTTCCAACCTTGTTGTTGGTCCCAACTAATCACAAGAGCCGGACTCTAATTTCACAGACCTGGAAGAGGAAGTCTGGAGAGATTTCTCTATGTGCCCAGAGGCACACAGTAAGGGAACGGCAGAACTGGACCAGAGCTGAGGTTTCTGGATGCAGGATGCCGGGCCCAGAGGCTACTACATCTGGAGTTTGGCTCACCCACCTTCAAGCTGGGTGACTTCTGGCAAATGACTTGACCTCCCTGATTCCCTACTTACTCATCTGTGGAATGGACACATAAATACCTACTTCTCAGGATTGTTGTGAAGGTCAAAATAAGATGGTGTATACAGAAGACACTTAAAAGGGAAGTAAAGTGTGGCCGAACTATGTCTTGCCACATCATCCTACTTCCTGATATAATCACCTGTCTTTAAGGTCATGGTAGCAGCTCCTACCTGGGGTACAGAGGGTCTCCAGGGGTTCTCAACGTGCTGATATATTGGACAGAAGGATCCAAGGGACAGATGTTCTGGGAAACGACTCAAACAGGGTGGCTCCCAGGTAGAGGTGATGTGTGTGGAGGTTAAATGATACGAACTGAAGTGCAATGCTTTCTGCATGGACAGTTTGGCTCTGGCTGAGATCTGGAGTGATTCAGGGCAACCACCCCACAGACCGGGAATAGGGACCCTTAGCTCAGGCTTTGAAGGAAAACGTTTCAAGTGAAGATGGCACCTTCCCGTTGCCTGTGCCGCGCTCAGGCTGGGTACGGTGAGGACAGCGCAGATGTGGGGGCCCTTCCTTAACACTGGGGCCTGAGGACTCACGAGCCAGTAAGAATTACTGCCGGGCATGCGTGTGACTGGCAGGAGGGCACAAAACAGATGTAAACTCATCACCCAGCTGAGGCTCAGCTCCGCAACGCATCGCCTGTGTAACTTTGGAGGAGTCCCTTGACATCCCTATGCCTCAGTTTCCTCGTCATAGAACACCAGGTCAAGTGAGCTATCGCATGTGGAAGCTCTACCTAAGACAAGCAATTTTACAAACGCTGGTTATGATGATGACGATGGTCCCGATGTGTCAGTATTGGGCCCCTACACTGGAAGCATCGTGGAAGGGATGTGGAACTGTAAGCCACACGGCACGGCTGGAGAGAGGAGAGTGACAAAGTGTGGTGTCTCTCTGCAGCTGCTCGCAGGTGTCCTGGCCCTCTTAGAGCCGGCGGAAGCTTTCCTGTTTCGGAGAAGGAAGCAGGAAGTACCAAGTGTCATTGGCATTTTTAGGAACCTGGGACCCAAAGAGCTAAGTCCCTTGTCCAATATCAGAATTGTCTGTGACAGAGCTCAGGAAAGAGCCTCCAATCCTGCGGCTGCCGAGGCAGCCTGTTTGCCAGCCGGCTCTGCCCGGCTTGCGTTTGGAACCACTGTTTCCTGAGCACCGGGATGTGCCAGGTGCCGTGGCAGGTCTGTAACGCCTGTGATCGCCACATTCGGGGCCGGCTGAAGAAGGAAATGCTACCATCCGCGGACTTTCCGGATGATGACCCGAGGCTCAGAATGATACAGTGATGTGCCCGAGACACAGGAAGCCAGGATTCAAACCTGAGCCTCCCGGGCCCCAAATCCAGTGCCCTGTGTAGTCTACCGTGGGCGAGTGACTGAGGATCCCTCGAAAGTAATCATGGTGTCAGCTGTTAATGGTGTTTTATGACCCACACAGGGAAAAGAACACAAGACAAAAAATGCCAAGCAGGCAGAAATTGTAACACTGGCAATAAAAATAATCTCTCAGACCCCAAACTGGCAGTTTACAAATCACTTTCACCCTTATTATCTCAACAACCCTAAAAATAGGCATTATTACTACTCCTTTCAAAAGTTGAGGAGACGGAGGCTCACAGAGGCCGTTTTCTTGCCAAGGCCCCGTAACTGTTTGGTGGCAATGCCAGGACTTAAGCCTCAGTCTGCAGATTCCAAGGCCTGCTGTCCCCCGGCCGCGTTGCCTGGGTTCCCTCCCAGCCTCATCGTCGGCCTTGTTGAAGGTCTGTGATTTCTCAGTCTCTACACTCCTTCTGTGCCAGCCACAGGGAAGCCAGGCAGCCCAGGGTTAATAGGGGCCTCCCTGTCCTTTCTCCCCCAACCTTGAGGACTTTCTCCCATCAGAGCTGAGGTCCTTCCCCTCCCAGCGGGAAGAGCCCGTTTTCTAGGAGGCGCTCTGAAGAAGGCGGCTGTGTTTGTTTCCTGTTGCCATCCTAAGACGTTACCACACGCAGTGGCTTACAACCACACACAGGACGGACTCCCTCAGTTCAGAAGTCCAGGAGGGCCTCACTGCACTGAAGTCGCGCGATTAGCAGGCTGTTTGTGCTGGCAGCTCTTGGGGACAGTCCTTGTCCTGCCCATTCGGGCTGGTAGCAGGATTCAGTTCCTTGCGGTGGAGGACCTGGGTCCCCGTTTTCTTGCTGGCTATAAAGGGAGGGCCATTCCCAGCAACCGGAGGCTGCCGTCCAGGGCCACTTCTTCACACCGCATCTCTCTGACTGCGCCTCCCTCCTCTGCTGTGAAGGACTCACGTGACCAGACAGGGCCTGCCAGGGTGACTCCCTGTCTCAAGCTCCTTCGCCTTAATCACACCTGCAAAGCGCCTTTGCCACATAAGGGAGCATGTTCGCAGGTGTCAGTGTTTAGGACGTGGCCATTCTGAGGGGCCAATATTCTGCCTGCCACAGTGGCCTTGTCCGCTGCTTCCTCCAAAGAAAGCTGCCTTCCATGTGTCCTAGCGAACAGACATAAGCTTTTGAAACCTGAGTGGTCATTTCAAATCCTGGCTCAGTCACTTAATATCTGTGCAATATTGGATGAGATATCTGACCTCTCAGGGACCCAGTGTCCTCATCTGTGAAAGGGTGACACAATCGTGCTTACCTTGTGCTGAAGGAGGTTTAGCAATAGAGTATTTCAAACCTCTCACCCAGTTTCCGGCGCATAGGCTCATTGCCTTGTCCTTTCCCTGTGCGAGACATCTGAAAGCTTACCAGTAGGGTCCTCTACTTGGGGGAGGCCCATTACAGGGTTTAAGAGGTCCCCACACTGTTCCCTGAAATTGAATTGGGCCCCTACACTGGAAGCAGTGTAGTTCCCTGAAGTTCCCTGAAATTGCATGTAAATGTGAAGTGGAGAGGTGCATCTTTCTTGAGAGATGCTTTATAGCTTCCAATCTCAAGGAGCCTGTGCCAAAGGTGTGCTGGTGAATATTTAACAACTGGCTTCAGGGGGCGGCCGTGGTGGAGAGCAAGTCCTAGCTGCAGCATCTGCCAATGTTCATGGTGTAAACACTCCCTCCATAGCCCATCTCAAACCACCCAAGTGACATCCTTGAGCATGGAGCCGTTCAGGGAGCAGACACATTGCTGCGTGCACAACTGGCTTTTGTCAACCACTGTGAACAGGCTCCAGGCCACTGTCTGAGACCTCAGAAAGGCCACCGAGCACAGCTTTGGGGAAAGGCCTGGCATTCCGGCCCGTCCAGTCTGCTTCCTTGGAGAGCCTGTTGCACACAAGGATTTCTGCTTTGTTTTTTCCTCCGCAGAGCTGATCTCTATCAGGATGCTGGAGTTATTTTGAGCAGTTTCAGGCAGACATCTGGAGGAGGGACACGCAGTGGGAGCCTCTGAAGAGGAGATTCGGGATCAGGGGACGAAGTCCTCAGTGAATCTGGGCGCTGGCCGG